TCATGTGCTCCAGCCCCCTAATCATTTTTGTTGCCCTCTGCTGGACTTTTTCCAATTTTTCCACATCTTTCTTGTAGAGTGCGACCCAAAACTGGACACAGTACTCCAGATGAGGTCTCACCAATGCCGAATAGAGAGTTAATGATCACTTCCCTTGATCTGTTGGCAATGCTCCTACTTATACAGCCCAAAATGAGATTAGCCTTCTTGGCAACAAGGGCACACTGTTGACTCATATCCAGCTTCTCATCCATTGTACCCCTTAGGTCCTTTTCTGCAGAACTGCTGCCTAGCCACTCAGTCCCTACTCTGTAGCAGTGCATGGGAGTGCAAGTCCTTCCACTTTTATTGAAAAACAAATCTGGTCTCTTTCATTTGTTTACCTTTTGTAGGTGACACCCTCAGTTAGATACCGTTCTGTTCTTTCACTTGGGAAGCAGTTCTCAATAGCCCTAAAAAGATCCACTGTTACTTGTAAATTCAGATCTGCTTCTCATAACAACTTTGATTTGACCTGGCTATCAGTTATAGCACCAATAACTAATTAATCTGCCACATGTAGTTGCAATCCTTCCCCTTGCCAGGAAAATCGGTAAGTGTTGCAATTTCCTCCTCTAATGTTCAGCCAGGTTCCCTTCCAGACTGAGGGATTGAGGTGGCTTCTTTTGCTCCAATTTTATCAGACACTGTGTGACAGAGACGTGGGTGGTAAGAGATTGTTCTTTATTTTCTGGCCTCAGTCTCCTGCCACTAACTTCTTGGGTGACCCCAACCATTCCCTTGTCCCAGGATAGAGATCGAAGCAGTTAACTCAGGTGGCTGTTGTTTCAGATGGGCAGACAACCCACTGCAAACCTAGTGTCATTACAGACCTCGATAGAGAATTTGTACTTTTTTTTTCTTTTCTTTTTGGAAATGTGTTTTTGCCTTGTGAAAGGGGGCTTTATATTTAAATGCTATGGCAGAATATCTGTTATCAAATTTACTGAATACAATTTTCATCCATTGCCCTTTAAAACTACAAATACAAAAGTTGGCGCATGGGAGAAAAAAACAAAACAAAAAAAAAGAATGTGTAGCCACTTGCATTCTACCTCTTCGTTTTAACATTACTTTGACGCCCCTTTTGTTTCAATGGATGGCTCAGGAAAGCTCTTTAAAACCTGATTAACAAAGTCTTCAGAACTCGCAAATGCTATAACATTCACAAAAGCAACATTCCATGAGTTTACAAAGGGACCGGGAAAAAAAGACTCGTCTAAATTTGAGTAAAGGTCAAGATACGTCGGTAGAAAGACAAAAGAAACTAAATTACAATAGGGCTCTTAGTCATCCACATTATCTCAATTGATATTTTGTAAATCAGTTTAATCATTGAGTTTAATCATTTTCTTTAAATGGGGTGGGGGGGTGGGGTGGAGGACCTTTTTAAACAGAGAAGCTCTCATTCAGGATAGACAATGGCAATTTCATGATTCTACTTCCTCAGGCTTTTGTTTTAAGAGATTTGATTTCTTTCAGCCTTTAAAAATGGAAATTAAGTCCTGCAAATGAATTAAGATGGAGGTTAATCTTAAACTTCAAACATAACCCTGTGAAAGACAAACAAGCTGTATTAGTACTTACAGGCAACAGCTGTCTACTGTGTAGATGATCTTAGAAGCATGCACCTTTATATGTTCACAGATCCACTGTACCGGTCTCCCAACCACACTGTTCTGTGTTGCTGCCCTACACCGCTACTACCTACTTATACCAGTCAGCTAAACACAAACAATGTGAAATATGACCCACAAGGAAATTCCCAAGCTTCCACGGTATGGCACATTTTACCAGAGTAGGTTAGTTGAATGACAAATTGTTTAAAAAGGGGAAATCCAGGAGATTAATATACATTAATTAAAACAAAATATACATGCTTGATTTAGCCATAAATGTCCCCCAGCCAAGAGAAAAACAATGATAATCTTGTTTCAGCTTTCCTGTTGGTCCATATTTTAGCTTGGCAAAAGCCTGACATTTTGCTTACTCTATCATTCTTTGTAGATGATGTTATTTTACAATCCAGCAAACATTTAGGAGTCTGAAATTATAATTTAGAACTGAATGTACAGCCCTTGAAAGATAGGGCAGCCTTCCCTACACTACCCTGTCAATGCACTTCCAGCCTGGTAGGGAGACACTACCTTAGAGGTGTCCCATGCCTGTTCATTGGCTTCTCTGCTGAGATATCCAATAGGGGTGCTAGTTGTAATGAGTTTAGTCACTCTGATACCTGCCCACTTAGAACCAGGTTGTCCAACAACCCATGTCACATAGGTCACCAAAAGGCCTGTTAAATGGAATATCGCTACCAAAATGCTCTCTGGCTCATTACGACTGATCTATCTAGTCAAAGATATTGGGTCAGATTCTTTTCTCCTGATTGGTTACTTTGCACTGTTCAGACAGAGTGAAGGAGCTAGAATGTGAACATAGGTGGTCAGCTTAGAATTCCCCTGGGGGGAGACTATTTGTGTCTGTAGAAATCATTCAAAAAGAATATTTGCAGAAATAATTTCAAGTAATACTCCATCTACACACAGAAATTGGTCCCTATACTTGAAACAGGTTTTTTTCCCTATAAGTCCAGAAGCCTCTCTCTCTTTCTTCAAATTCCTCCACAAAACCCTTTTCTTTTGGATAACTTTCCAAAGTTGACCTCCTCTCTGGCATTATCTGCACACACTGTAGGTTTGATCTTTGATCTGTATATTGTATTTGCTGGAATTGGAATGAAAGATGATTGGGGCTGAGCCTTTGTCTTTTTCTTTCTTTCTAAAGCAGCACATACACTTGCTATGCTCGCTAACGCTATGGAGGCGGGAGACACAAGTACCGAATAGAGCCAAAAGGATAGTAACAAACCTCCCACACAGAGAAGCATACATGCAGCCCCTGAAATATCACAATAAATATACATGAAGGCGTTTTCAGAGGAGTGTAACACACAGATTTGAATTCAGGAAATTGTCCCATCTCCTGTCCAAATAACTTGTCTCTGGGTTTCCTCTCAAACGTGGGTTTCCCCTAGAGGAAGATACCAAGTTATTACAGAAAAATGTCCAGTCCTTCTTTAAAGGGGGTGGGGGAAATAAAGCTATTCATGTGTTTATATTATGGTTTGAAGCAAAGGCATTGACTTCAATGACCTTTGGATCAGGGCCTAAACGAGAGAGGAATTTGGTTGCATCATCCTTTTCCAGCTCACACTTGGTTTAGCAGCAAAGCCGTCTCACTAATGTGGAGTGCGCCAGGTTAACAGTTCTGGGAGAGAACAGAGGAGTGATTCAACCCCTCTTAGAACAGCACAGCTCGGTCGCTTTCGTCCTTAGCTGAACAGCTGCCATTTCCTCTACTCACCAGGAATTCCCAAACTGTCCTCACTGGTGTCTAACTTCAGATCACTCTGTTGGCAAAGTAGGGCTAGCAGATGTAGTGCTCTCATATGGAACCAGCTGATGCAGAATCCTCACCCAACCTAACTCCAAACTGGCCTTCCTCACCAGCTCCACACGGGTTGGTCTGGAGACCAACTCCACAGTATGTTGGGGATGCACAAAGGGTAGTAAAAAGGGCCTTGCACATCCTTCCTCATCACAAGGTAATTTTACCCCAGTAACTAATATTGCTTGAAATAAATTTGCCACAGTTGTTCTCTTTTATTTAAATATAATTTTCTACCACTCTTAACCAAGAGCACGGCTGGAGCAGAAGAGAGAACTGCTGCTTAAAAGGATGTTAAGTAAAAGTATTACAATTCTCAGCATCATTTTAAAAGCTTTAAATCCTCAAAGCTAGCTGTGTCTCTTGGTGCCTTTTTTTGTAGTTCCCAAGGGCATATGCAGAAAAAAGGGAGGAGGGATAGCTCAGTGGTTTGAGCATTGGCTTGCTAAACCCAGGGTTGTGAGTTCAATCCTTGAGGGGGCCATTTGGGGATTTAGTTGGGGATTGGCCATGCTTTGAGCAGAGTTGCTTGTACAGGTTTCACAACAGTTCATGGCTCTGCACCCATAGTTTATCCAAATCAGGAGCCTTTGAGACAGCAGAACATTTTTAGGGGAACTTTACTCTATAGGCAGGCGAAATCCCAGTAAACCAGCTACTAACAGGCCATGATGAGCGTGAAAAACTCTGGAAAAATAAATACTGTTTCTCTTGATCAAATAGAGGCAAGTCCCTCGTGTCAGGATCCCAGGTAAGGGGATTTAAATAGAAACGCTTGCCAACTAGTTCCATAAAATGATTAATTCAACTTTTACCTGGATTAATCACCAGGTCATGAAACTGGTTTGTCTGCTGAGTAAAGGCCAGATCTTCAGTTGGTGTAAATGAGAATAATTCGAGAGGAGTAACTTGAGCTATGCTGTTTTATTCCAACTGAGGATATGGCCCACGAAATCAAAACCATGGAGAGCAGTCAACTCTTCCAAAATACTTCCATGGCATGGCTGAAAAGCTCATGTAGGCAAGGGCATAAAGGACCCATCATCTCTTCTGAACAGAGCTTTTGGTTGCATTTAGGTTGCATTCTGTATTACCACCTGAAATGACACTCAAGTAGACGTTCGCAGGAAATTTAAATTCTTTATTGATCAAGTTTTCCATAAAATATTTATTTATGAAATTCACAGACATGTAGATTTGATTTAAGAAAAAGTGCCTCATTTTGTCACAACAGTAAGAAAATATTGAAACTTACAAATTTGGTAATTTGGCACTAATATGTATATTTTTAGAAGTTTTCAAGGAACCCTTCTGTACATTTTGATTAAGAAAAGAAAACTAGTAATGGGTGAAGTATTCTAAGTGAACAACTGGTTAGCCTCACATTTTTGGGATAGCTACTGAATATTCATGAGAGATCATATTAAAGAGGAACTCAAGCATTTGCTAGCTCTGATCCAAAGAAAAAAAAAAGACAGCACAGTAGTTAAAAGCTATTCTGCTACCTGATTAATGTTTACCTTGCTATGCAGTACTTTCAGTGTATGCATAATGGAACAAACAGACAAACTCAACCTAAATAATCACACTTATTACTGAAGAATGTCATTGTTTCTATTCAACAATAAAATTATGTTTTAAAATAAAACCTACTAATTGATTTTGTTGATTTTTAAAACTATTTCTGAACAAGACACTTTCTAATCTGAATTACCTGCAAGCAAAAATCAGTAATTTCACTGTTTCAGGTTGCTTTTACATTTTATATGTAGTTTGCAAAGTAAAAATCTACTTGTGTGATAAGAAAATTGGATGAAAATCTTTGCCACATTAACATTACATTTCTATTTAGCAAACTCTCTATAGATGTTCTCTTTATTTACCTGCCTTGTTTTTGACTTATAACTAAGTAAATTTTAGAGCACTGTAAACCAAGGATATCTGTCACTATTCTTCCTTTTTTCTTAGAGAAAAAGGTTTATGTATGAGATCAGAAACCTCACCCCAACTATGGGTTAGATTTTTAAGGACACAAACCATAATAAAAAGTGATGTATAATGGTGCTGCCCTAGGAAGATTTCTGGGAAGGAGCTGTTGTTATGGGAGAAGTAATTTAAGGGAAGATTCACAGAATTTATTTTGCTAGTATTTAATGTAGAAGTTTTACATACTGCTTTCCATAATTGTTTAACTTCTCTGGACTGACCAAACAATTTTTTTGGTATAACTGTTGAGTTCTGATGCATCTTCGCTATCCAGTTATTTAGCATTGAACAGAATGCAAGAAAGGTAAGGCCAAGTCAAGAGAAATAACTATTACTCAGCAAGAATCTGAATGTCGATACACTGCAGTTTTTCCATCTTGGAAAAAGATATAGCCCAAGTATTTCCTAAGCTTTACAAAAACTTTTTTTTTAAAGGAGGTAGAATTACAAGATTTGCAAAAAGACACTTTTATATACAATCATCAGATTTCTAATGGAAGCAAGCTAGAAAGGGACACTGCCAACTTATTTAGAGCCAACTCAGACTAATTTTGAGCTGCTAGAGGGAACTGTTCTCTGGATTTTAAATATCAATGTCTGTAAATCCACCATTTAATTAAGATTAAGCAGCAAAAATAAATAATCATCCACAAAATTTGCATTAGTCACACCCCAATGCAAGCGGTACTCTCCCTATGCTGCCTTCTAACTAACATTGGTTCCTAGACTATGTATAATTGTACAGCTCTTCTTAAACATGAAGAAATAAGTAGAAAGGCTTCCACCTTTTTAGTGATGCAGTACTAGAAACAATGTAAAGTAAAAAATATCAGCAATCAAACGGAAGGGACAAAATTAGATAGAAAAAAAGATTTGATTTCCAAAACTTCTGAGATGAGTAGAAAAAAAAATTAAACTATAGAAAATGAAACAAAAATTGAAAAAGTTACCAGAGAGGAGTCAACAGCATCCAGTTGAGTGTACAGAACAAGTGATATGGAAAAGAGCTTCCAGTCTTTCTCTGCTGCTAAGTATGGAGGATGAGATCCTCAGCTAGTGGAAATCGGTATAGCTATATATATATATACGAAAATGGAGTTATGGACTTTACATCAGCTGAAGGTCTGGTCCAGAGTTGCTTTTTCATCCTATAAAGCCTTGATTAGGGCTCAGCAATCGGATACATCACCTTTTCCAAATATAAGAAGCCAGTACAAATCTGTATCTGCTATTACATGAGATATGCATTGAGTGTACAATCAAATCTCCTTGGGGGAAAAAATGTGCCCTAACATCAACCCTTTGAATATACTTTCAGAAGTAAAGTTCTTTAGTGAGCATGGAGACCACACAGGGTATCTGCTTCTTTTCGCTGTAGCGTGGGTCATCCGACTGTGATTCATAGTTTGTGGCCACCATGTAGTTGACCCTGGTGAGGATCTGCATTATCTCAAGTTGTTTCCCGTGATCATTTAGTATGGAGCACAAAGACTGCACAAACCATGAGCCTCTCCCTGGGTTCCTCCAGGAAAAATAACCTACAAGGAGAGAGAGATAAGAAAGCACATGGATTATCTTTCCTCCCTTATAGGCATATAGAGGGGAATGGGACTCTGCGTTCAAAAAAGAATTAGATGAGTTCATGGAGGATAGGTCCATCAATGGCTATTAGCCAAGATGATTAGAGATGCAACCTAATGCTCTGGGTGTCCCTAAACCTCTGACTGCCAGAAGCTAGGACTGGACAGAGGATGGATCACTTGATAAACTGCCCTGTTCTGTTTATTCCCTCTGAAGCATCTGGCATCGCCACTGTTGGAAGACAGGATACTGGGCTAGATGGACCACTGATCAGACCTACTGCGGCCATTTTTATATTCTTATGTTATGACTCCCTTTTGAAGCAATTTAGAAAAGAAGCTAATAATTCTTAGCCCTTATACAGCACATTCTATATCATCAAGGTAGTGTCTATAATTAATTAAGCCTCACAATACCCATATGAGGTAACACTCTTACAATTTCAGCAATGGGGAAACTGATTTAAGGGGTGAAATTCTGAGCTGTGCATCTGAGGATATGGTGTGTACTGCAGCTTTACCAGCGCATGCCCACTATGCCAGGACATTCAAAGGGGCCTCAGAACTCAGCCTTTCAGCTGTCTTCCAGACTACCAGCGTCAGGGAATTTTCCCCTGACTGCATCTGGAGCTTTCAGAGCTCCCTTTATGATATTCCAGCCCTTTGATCCAGTGTAAATGGGGCAGTTTATGACCTGAGGAGTTTATGATCTGCCCAATGTTGCACAGTGTGTCATCAGCAAAGCTTGGTCTAGAATTCAGGAGTTACTGACTCCGATGCCCATGTTCAGTCCACTATACTTCAGCATGTATTTTAAGGCAACTTATTTCTGTTCCTTTAAAGAAGTTTTCATGGCCAGAACTTAATTTTCAACTTTGTATTCTTTATTCTGTGTACTTTATATTTAATGCCTACCACCACCAAAAATCATAATTTGTATTCCCAGAGCTCTATAGATATACAGAATATTTTTTCTTTAATTACACTTTTTGTTAAAAAAGAAAAGTAGAAGAACAGAGGTAAATGAAGTACTGAAAGGCAAAGAAAGCTAGTCTGGCACTTCTATTTATTATTCTTTCCACAATAAAATGGATAAAATGTCACTCAGTAAAATTACAAGAAAATACACTTAAAACAGGCAAATGATTTTGTTCCAAAATATTCAATTTCTTTTACATTTACATATCCATACTTAGTGGCTGAATTTCTAAAGTTCAGATGCAAAAATGCAAGCCCAATTGCCATTGCATCCAATTGCATACGGATGTCAGCCTGTCTTTCCCATTACTTACCTGGCACTGTGGAATATGCAAACAGAAAATCTGCTTCTACTGGAATCTTGTATCTGGGATTCGCATCTGTTACCTCTGTGTCATCTGCAAGTCCAGAATCTGTTTGTATCCCATCATCAAATGTAGATCCTCTACATGCCTGAAAACATGGTAAAGACAAGAAGAGCTTGTCTAAAATGGGAAAATTGGTCATGTTTTGAAAACTGTTAGTATGATTTAACTGAAAATTTAAAACAGGACTTTGCACCTAGTATAGACAAGGAAAGTCTTGTTGGAAAATGTGTTAGTTGATCATACTGAACCTTAGGGGGAATCTAGGGTTGACCACAAGTAGTGATGCATTTTTAAACATGATATATCCTTATATCTACACAAAGTACAAAATCCTGTTTAAAACTGGGTTAGTTAAAACGTGTTCGCTAGCATTTTAAACCATGACCAATTTTGCTAGTCTACTAGTTTATTAGTTTGAGTGGATGATCAATTATGTCCATAAGTTACACTGTATAGTAATGTTTAAATTTCTTGTAACAATGAAGTACAGAATTATATGTTCTCCTTAGTACCAAAGTCATTCACTGCCATGCCATTGTAGTTCAAGTACTTTACATTTTTAACCTTTATACAATTACATATCCCAAATCGCTTCTTTTTTAATGTTGTCCTCCATTTCCCTCCTTCAATCCTCACTTCCCCTTTAGCTATACAGCTTGGTGAGTTGACACCTTGGAACGAACTCCAGACAAGTATGTTTCACCTCTTGATGAAAGCTCACCTCTGACTGAAAGCTGTTACCATCTGATGGCTGTTTGGTGGGACTATGTGCGAGGAATTGGTTGTTTGCAATGAGAAAGTGTACACATCACAAGTGTCACTCTGACACTCTTGCCGGCAATCTACAGAGGGCCAAGAGTCTGAAATGCCGTACGTCTCATCCTCCACAACAGGGTTGAGGGAAGATGGTGGAGTGACTTAGGGGAAGTTTCACTCCTGCTGTCACCCCAAAATGTACATACTAAACAGACAAATAGGGGGCTTCGGTCCCCTGGGCTGTCAACTGGGCATCTTTCACCAGCACAGCAGGTTATTGACTAGTTTCAGTAAAATGTCATTAATTATATGTATGATGTAATAATACACTATAATAATTGCGTGCACAGATTTCTCCTGACAGAATGCAATAGTCTCTAGGGACAGCCTACATTCACAGCTCTGCCTACACCCCCAGAAAGATAATCCTTCCACTTGAAGAGCTAGTATTAGCATCTAGGAAGAGGAGAGAATTACAATGAAAATATGTACATTTTTACACATTTGTATTATATATGTATGATATATTGTCAAATGCACAATACCTATAGCCAGCTACCCTCCAATCTATGATTTGCTGGTCAAACATCTTTGTAAAAATTCAGTAACTTAACCTACAGGGCCACCATACAGTAGGAAACCACTGGTAACCTTTTTCCTCCCAGCAGTATCTACTTTGTAAGGTTGTTACCTGGATGAAAAATAATTTGGGTTTGCCTATCAGAGTTTTACACTTGTCTCCTCTGAAGAATGTGGTCAGATCCTTGATTTCCAACATTCCATCAGTGCCATAAATGTAGCCCTCTTCCCCATGGCTTAAAAAGATACAGGCAAAGCAGGCAGCATCATCGTGGTTCTCATCCGCAGCTGAAAATCAAATAACATTTTCTCAGCACAAAGGAAATTACATTAAACTTAATATAAATGAAAGAACTATAAACAGCATCTCTTTGCAGCACTAGATGTACAGTGGGACCCTCTATGCAACTCCAACAGGGGAAGGGAAGTGGGGATTTTTCAGTAATACAGATTGCAGATGAGGGGAGTCATAAACCACTTTTGGATAATTGGGAGAGTATCCGGGCAGGAGGAACTGAGCTCTGTACCAGACCCAAGATCCGGGCAGGCAGAGCAACTGGGCATAGGCCACTTTCTCAGTTGAGTAAAACAAGAGAATAAAATAGCTCTGAATTAAGGGGAAAACATGAAAGCTTTAGTCTGTTCTGGTACCACATCTTTTATTATATGGAAAAGTACATTAACACGAGGAATGTGAACTGTTACCTTGTTTGAGTAATTTCTTCATATCATCACGGCATTGATCGTTGTATATATCAACCTCAAATCCTAAGCTTCTAAAACATTTAAAAAGCGCTCCAGCATCTTTATCGGTGCCACTGCGTTTACCCATACCTGACAGAAAATGAAGAAGAATACAGCTGGCTACACACAAAGCAAAGCAAATAACTTGAATGTTCACAGGTGACTTTCTAGGTTTATAATTTACTGGCTAGCTTAGAAAATAATATGGTGATGTGATTTTGAAATAAACATTCACAAATGTTTGAGGAAGCAAGAGCAGGAGAGCGTAAGAGGGGAGGACTCCTGTCTCATACCGAGAAAGAGGGACGATCGATGAGTTATCTTAAGTGCCTATACACAAATGCAAGAAGCCTGGGAAACAAGCAGGGAGAACTGGAAGTCCTGGCACAGTCAGGGAACGATGATGCGATTGGAATAACAGAGACTTGGTGGGGTAACTCACATGACTGGAGTACTGTCATGGATGGATATAAACTGTTCAGGAAGGACAGGCAGGGCAGAAAAGGTGGGGGAGTTGCATTGTATGTAACAGAGGAGTAGGACTGCTCAGAGCTCCGGTATGAAACTGCAGAAAAACCTGAGAGTCTCTGGATAAAGTTGAGAAGTGTGAGCAACAAGGGTGATGTCATGGTCGGAGTCTGCTATAGACCACCAGACCAGGGGGATGAGGTGGACGAGGCTTTCTTCCAGCAACTAACAGAAGTTGCTAGATCGTAGGCCCTGATTCTCATGGGAGACTTTAATCACCCTATCATCTGCTGGGAGAGCAATACAGCGGTGCACAGAAAATCCAGGAAGTTTTTGGAAAGTGTAGGGGACAATTTCCTGGTGCAAGTGCTGGAGGAACCAACTAGGGGCAGAGCTTTTCTTGACCTGCTGGTCACAAAT